CCTGCACCAAATGTTTCACACTTGGGTTAGATTAAATATCGTTCACCGACTTACAGAAAAACTATTATATCGTAAATGTTCGTTTTATAAAGAAACTTTCTTCTAAAATTGTAACAGAAACCCTTAATGGGAAAGAAATATATCGCTACTTAAAGATAAACGTGCGACTGTGCTATTTAATTCTAATTATTGTTACCCATCTCAGTATGGCTGAACCCGAGAATCCCGTGCAAACTTTATAAGTTCTGTCTTAATACTGGATATTCTATCAGGGTTTTTGGTATAAATACAGGCCACCAGACAAGTAAAAATCAGAAAAGGAAGAAGTAATATCTTAAACTCCAGACAAAGGCTGTCTAAACGATCAAACAATACTTAGTCCTCACCGTCGGCTGATAAATGCACTTCGCGCACTCCGAACCTTAAATAATTTTAGTACATGCTTTGAATGTTTGCCTAAGATTTCTGCTGGGCATTTGGACCAAACACGACTTTTCCGTCGGTTCAGGTACCTTTGCTCCCTTTTCTAAAAATGAAATCCCGGCTTTCGTGCCTGTTCTGTTTTATTAGCGGTGACAAGTGTTTTCTGCTGAGAGGGTAGATGTTGGCCTGGGTCTTTAGTGAGCCATACAGACGAACAATGCCGCCAATAAGCCCACACAGACTGATTTGTTTTGGTCTATGAAGCGTCTTGTTGCAGGACTCTTGTATTACCGAATGAAAACGAATATTGATGAGGTACCGCTAGCGTGTTTTTTTTGTGGGCATAAAGTAAAAAATGTTAAACGACTGTTTTCAAGCCATGCGGATAAAAGAGTTAGAACTGGCACTATACTCGAGCAGGTCGACTGTCGATTTCGATGATGTCCACCGTTTGCTCCACAACGGGGTGGTGCAAGAACGGCGGCTGGCACGTGAATTAGTTTTAAGTCATAGTGGACTTGCGATGCATCTACCGCACTCTCTCTTTCCTCACTCATCCACCTGGACCCGGCGTCAAGATACAACGAGGAAGACCAGAGTCTCGATCGGGC